CATTTATTTCAGTAATGCAACTTAAAAGGTGAAACTAATATATGAGATAGACTCATTACATGCAAAGCAAGATAGTTCAAGCCGTGATTTGTTGTAATTGAGATGATTATGGCTTACAGCTCATGAAAACCCCAAATCCACAATCTCAGAAAATTAGAATATTGTGAAAAGGTTCACCATTCTAGGCTCAAAGTGTCCCACTCTAATCAGCTAATTAAGCCATAACACCTACAAAGGGTTCCTGAGCCTTTAAAGGGTCTCTCAGTCTGGTTCAGTAGGAATCACAATCATGGGAAAGACTGCTGACCTGACAGTTGTGCAGAAACCATCATTGACACCCTCCATAATGAGGTAAAGCCTCAAAAGGTAATTGCAAAAGAAGTTGGATGTTCCCAAAGTGCTGTATCAAAGCACATTAATAGAAAGTTATGTGGAAGGGGAAAGTGTAGAAGAAAAGGGTGCACAAGCAGCAGGGATGACCGCAGCCTGGAGAGGATTGTCAGGAAAAGGCCATTCAAAAGTGTTGGGGACTTTCACAAGGAGTGGACTGAGGCTGGAGTCAGTGCATCAAGAGCCACCACACACAGACGGATCCTGGACATGGGCTTCAAATGTCATATTCCTCTTGCCAAGCCGCTCCTGAACAACAAACAACGTCAGAAGCATCTTACCTGGGCTAAAGAAAAACAGAACTGGTCTGTTGCTCAGTGGTCCAAAGTCCTCTTTTCTGATGAGAGCAACTTTTCCATCTCATTTGGAAACCAAGGACCCAGAGTCTGGAGGAAGAATGGAGAGGCACACACTACAAGATGCTTGAAGTCCAGTGTGAAGTTTCCACAGTCTGTGTTGATTTGGGGAGCCATGTCATCTGCTGGTATTGGTACACTGTGCTTCATTAAGTCCAGGATCAACGCAACCGTCTACCGAGAGATTTTGGAGCACTTCATGCTTCCTTCCGCAGACGAGCTTTATGGGAATGCTGACTTCATTTTCCAGCAGGACTTGGCACCTGCCCACACTTCCAAAAGCACCAAAACCTGGTTCAATGACCGTGGGATTTCTGTGCTTGATTGGCCAGCAAACTCACCTGACCTGAACCCCATAGAGAATCTATGGGGCATTGCCAAGAGAAAGATGAGAGACATGAGACCGAACAATGCAGAAGAGCTGAAGGCCGCTATTGAAGCATCCTGGTCTTCCATAACACCTCAGCAGTGCCACAGGCTGATAGCTTCCATGCCACGCCGCATTGAGGCAGTAATTGCTGCAAAAGGGGCCCAAACCAAGTACTGAGTACATATGCATGCTTATACTTGTCCGATAGTGTTCTATGTACAATCCTTGTTTTATTGAGTAATATTTAATTTTCTGAGATTTGGGATTTTGGATTTTCATGAGCTGTAAGCCATAATCATATCAATTAAGACAAATCACGGCTTGAACTATCTTGCTTTGCATGTAATGAGTCTCATATATTAGTTTCACCTTTTAAGTTGCATTACTGAAATAAATGAACTTTTGCACGATATTCTAATTTTTCGAGTTTCACCTGTTGGAACAAAAGCACTGGTTTGTTGTCAGAACATTTCACTACCAGACGTTGACTTATTATTATTTATTATTGAAAAGGGGGATGGACTCTAGACTGTTAAATCTAGATCCACAATTAATTAAGAAATCAATAGAAAACATAAGCCAGACTCTATGCATACATTAATATAATCATTAGTATCAACCTCTTCCTCCTCTAAGAACCCAGATACGATTCCTCCCTCCCCTATTAAAATCAGAAAAGCAATCAACAATATCTATTATAAACCAAGATAAAAAAAGAATGCAACAAAATAAAGTTCACTATATAAGGCCATCTGAAGTGCAATCTGTTTGTGGAACTCACGGAATAAGCTCCATTGAAATCCTACATTCTGCACTGGACTTGCTTTGAACGAAGCATGTGCAGAGAAATGTATTTGGAATCACGCAGCAACATTTAGGCCCCAATATAACATGTCTAGATTGTGACTCCTAGTATAAGGAAGACATTAGGCACACTGGGTGAAAAAGCTCTAACGATTGTAGACAATAGGGATTGTAAACCATGGCTTGTCATAACTTGTCAATAATTTTGGTGATAAGAAATAAGCATGTACATTATGCAGGACCCATAATTTATGTAAAAATGTGTCTTTAGAATTTTTAAATTGTGTTCATTGTCCCTCTGAACATATGCTAATATCAGTGGTGGGATTCAATTTTTTTACTACTGGTTCTGTGGGTGTGGCTTGGTGGGTGTGGCAGGGGAAGCATACTGTAAAATCTCCAGTCAGAGATGGTCTTTGCCGGTTCTATCAACTACTCAAAATTTCTGCTACCGGTTCTCCAGAACTGGTCAGAACCTACCGAATACCACCTCTGGCTAATATGTTGCTTTTAGAAATAAATATTTACCACAAGGACCAGATATCAGTCTTAAAACAAATATCTTTGTAAACTACAGTTATACATATCACAAAAAATAAAATGAAGAAGGGATTGCATGTTTTTCAAAATACTGTACATTCCATGCAATTTGGATTTTTTACCACCTGTAAAAAATGTGAATTTTCTTTTCAACAGAATATTATCTTAATATATTGAAGATTTGTTTTAATTTATCAGTAAAAAGATATTACCATTTTAAGTTAATGCCCCACCCAAATCACCCTAAAAAGTTATCAAGAATGTTTAGTGTATTGTATTATTGATGTTTGTTTATTTGTTAAAATTATTCATTAAAATATAGCTTATAGCAATATTAACACACTTATCACATATCATAATGTATATTATTTGTGTAACTTAACTATATTAGTTCCTTAACATATCTATTTTGACTTCAAAAATCTCATTTAGTTCTATTAAACATTAATTTTAAATATTAGGTTGTAATGTTATTCTGCTTGTACAGACTCCATTGTGAAATATATGCAAAGGTCATATCCAAGAGTATATTTTTATACCAGGCTTTTCAACATGAAGCTTTTAATAGCAAACGCAGAATATAATCCACTAATGTATGTGCAATTAAGCATGGAATGAATTGCATTATTAAAGGGAAGTCTACTTATCCATTTTTTCTGCTAATATAACTCAAACATATTACATTTTCTTTAGAATTCACTGGAACTATATTCAAAGTAAGTGCACTTAAAATTGCAATCTCACAGAAAATCTCTATTTGCTAATAAATACTCTAGAATATCTCTTTTGCTTCTTTTTCGCCATTTGCAGAAAATCTGAATTTTCTTTTAATACTTTTCTCATAGCTTTGTTTTTCACCTAAAGCAGAAGTTCTTTTCAGAAAATGATTTTCAGTCCTTTTTCAGATGTGATTTGGGAGTTTGGGAATGATACAGACCCTCCGCTTCTGGAGCGGGGGTCTTTTTTCTTTAGCATCTGCCTGTAGAAGAACAGATGTGAGCACCTGCAGTGACAGGCTGCACATGATCCACATTATTCATAGGCATTCAGTTATGGCTACAATGGTAAGCTTTTGTATATGCAAAGTCACTAAATATATTAATCTGTGTTCCCCTGAGCACTGCCCCATTTAATTTCTTCATTGGCAATAACGTCTAATCTAATCCTCCAATCGGCTCCCTGCTGTGCCCATTTTCCCCTGGAAAGATATGTGAAGTTATTCAAGTTTCCACCTGTTGCATATTGAAGTCAGTTATGGCATCATCAAAATGTTCAGAGAGACAACTCATAATTCTGCTATGAAGGCAGTCTATTTAATACGTCTTAGAGAATATTTTAAAATTTAGTAAAAACGAATTATTAACCACCAATAAAGAAACTTTCTGGAGAAATTACTAATGCCCTTTTGCGCAAAATTCCTATAACACTAGAAGGAAAATGGCGAAGGAACAAAACATCACTGCAAGTGTACCTCTTGCAAATGGTCAAAATCCCCATGTAAAATTTTGTTTATTAAACTTTTAATATTATAACTAATAGAAACTTTGGTCAATATACCAAGCAGCTAAAAAAATAATCCTAATCTCAGGTGTAAGATTTCAATTTTGGGGAAAATTTTGTTCTATTATCCCTTCCTCTGTTTTGATTTGTTTTCACCCACAATGCATCTGTTAGCTCCATTGTAACCCACATAATGCCCATGGATATCAGGCTGTGAACAAAGACAGAAGCGGTTTAAACAAACCAGCCCCTTTCTTTCCTCTCTGTCTATTGTTGTATAAATGGGCCTTCTGCATTCTGCTGCTAGGAAACCAACTTTTAAAAGCCTAGCTTCAAAAAAAGGGACAGACCCCCAATAAAAATAAAGCAAAAAGTTTTCCTCTTGCTTTGTTTAAACAAGTCTTTTTTTAAAAAAATCTGCAACAGCAGAATATTTGAGGGTATGCGTCTTTTTTAGAAATATCCAATTCCTCACCTCCTGCATCAGCGACTAACATAAAAACAGTCAAGCCTTTTCACATTAAGCCTCATTGTTATTTGTGCATTGAACTATTTCACCTTAACCGCAATGTATAAATGAGGGAACTTTAACTACAATGTATAATTGAGATTAAAAACAATATCTGTAAGCATTATTTTATTGTTTCCAATGGAAGGGTAGATAAACTTTTACATAGATAACAAGTTGTTTAAGAGAAATACAATATGAAAATAGTATTTTATGTCCAAAACAAAAACTATACAAAATTGTAGCAACTATCGGCATCACTCAGAGCGATCTTGAGCTCTTGCTCTGTTTCTATAAATTTCCGTAGCTGTCAGGGGAGATTTAACTTCCACGCTGTAGTGGCATATAACAGACACACGTCCTTTTCCTAAACACGATATTTTGTATTTGTCAACTGTCTTCTCGTCCGCCAGCTCTTTATGCTTTAGCGGCAAGGAGAGCGTCTGGTAGAGAATCACGTGACCGCCGCCGATCCCGTCTTCCTGGGGAAAGAACCATAGAGACTTAAGTGTGCGCAAGCTCCATCAACAGTACTGCAAAGGGATACATTGAAAGTAAGCGTTCAGTGCAAACTCGGCATCTGGCTCTGAATTGACGTCTTAGTATTCCGGCCTAGAATCCCGAGAGTTAAGAGACATAAGGTACAACCTTGAGGCTGCTGTCCTAAGAGTACTTATTTTAGAGTGCCAATTCCCTCCAACAGATTTTTCAATCAAGGGCCGTGACATTGTTCTGAATGTGCTGTAGGGTGGAATAAAAAGTCTTTTGGGAGGATCATACACTCAAGAGTTTCTCAGGAGGCTGGTCGGACGTTGCAGCCCCCGATAAGGGCTTTGCTTAGTTGGCAATCTGTCCGAGGGAAATACCGTTCTTTGCAGGGGGTTGTTCCCGTTCCTCTCGGCTCAGAACTAAGTCTGTTTCCTCCGGCTCGTGGACTTTGGGTCTGCTGAGAGAAAGAAGAACCTAAGAGCTGATAGGGAATAAGATGGGTTCATGCAACATTGTACTTTGATTGTATTGTACGGATCCAGCCATTTGGTCAGTTTATCCAGCAGTGAGTTATGGGAACCTAAGTTAATTGAGTTAAGTATTTTTGGGTGAACCATGGAAGAGTCTCCAACAAATGCAATGATTTATTGAAGGCAATAATGAACAATATGCATCTTGGACATTGAGATATTTTTCAGAGGAGAAAAACGGTGCAAGGGGCAGAATGGAAGGCAGGATCTTGGATTTCAGGGATGTCCACAGGGCATCAAGGGATGGCCATGGGGTGTGATCAAAGTTTTGGGTGCTTTTATGTGTGATGCATATGCAAGACAGGCCAAAACTGCCAGAGGTTCAGTGGTATTGTGGCTGTTATGCTGAATGTCCAAGTATTTAGCTTACTCAGCTGTTCATTCATGCTATGGTGAGATGCAATCCTAAATATATTTGCGTATCAGATGACATTTAAAACTTAAAATCCTAAATACATTCTCAGGTTTAATGAAGTTTGCTGGATAGACATCAATCAAAATCTGAAATCTTGTGTTGGCTTACTTAGTAAGCATGAGAGCATGTAAAGTTAAACTGAGTTGTTCTTACTGTTGAGTAATATACTCGAACTATTTTATTGGATGCAGATATTACAGTAAGATATAATGTGCATGAGCAGGAGCAATATATACCACAGTTTTGAGTGGGCCAGGCATTTATGCCCAGTTATTTTCAAAAATAATAATTAACTTCTGATTTAGCATCCTTTGCCCTTGTGTCAAAAATGAAATGAACATCAGCATTCACCAACAATGTAACAGTATACATAAAATTATAGATCCAGATTCCGGATTTTTTTACTTCCATTATAAGAGGAGAGTTGCATTGATGAAATTTTTGGTTATCACACATTTTTGAATGTGGTAGGAGGTTATATCCTATTGACATTATTTTAATCTTATATATCTAGTTTATTTGTTGATAGAATATCATCTGTGCTTAGTAGCTAAATGTGCAGTATTGTTGTGTCTTTAACTTTGAAATCAGATATAGACAGTTAACAAAACCCTTTTCATGAATAATAATACTTTACAATTTTTGTTTTGAGACTAAAAACCAGAAGAAAAGTAAATGCCATTGAAATAAAATATCCTTATATGGGGCTGAAAGGAGTTGGTGTTTGTTTTTAGTTTTGTTTCAAAATGCTACCTGCTTTGTTTAAAGTTTTATATTTAAGTTCTATGTATCTCACCACACATGTATGAAAAGCAATCAGGAACCAGAAGTCTCTGGAAATACATTGCAGACTGGAGCCCTTCTCATCCTAGTAAAGGAAAGGAAGTCAAAGAGGCCATTAAATCTGGTTAGTACTTTTCATCAGTCTGTTAGAGGGTGGAAATGAAAAGGCATAATATTTTCTGGGATAGACAGATGCTTTAGTGCCAAGTGCAGAATTGCTTTTATGTGCTCCATCTCCTTCTGGCTGGGTTGATGGTCTCTAGTAGACTATTACCAACAGTGGTGGGATGCAACCAGTTTAATAACTGGTTCAGTGAGCACGTGCTTCGCATGTGTAGCATTCAAAAACCACCCATTTTAAGCATAAAAATTTACCTTCTATGTCAGTGCTGGTGAGTAAAAGAGCTGACATGTGGCAATCTGCTATGCGCACGAATCACCTGAGCTAAAAAACAGAGAAATATAAGACAGGAAACTACCAGTTCACTGGAACTGATGCAAACCGGTAGAATCCCACCACTGATTGCCAATATACTGTATTTCTTCTGTTGGCTTGCCTTTTATCTGAGCCCAGGTGATTTTAACATTAATGCTACAATCAGCCAAGTACTCTGACAAGTAAGTTCATTGCTGATGGACTGCACTACATCAGCAGCTATATTGCTGTTGCTCAAGCCCAATATTCCACTGACAGAATTTATCTTACCATGTTCCAGTAATTCCCCTTATATCATATTTGTGCTTCAGGACTTTCAGCTAGCTTGTTATCCATACTTTGTGCATTAATTAATTAACGGGTTAAATTCCTTATGTTCAACCTCCCTTTCTTTTGCACCTGTACACCCTTTGTTTCTTAGTTAATAGTCATGCTACCGTAAAGGCTTAAGCAGTGATCCCCATTACTTTCATGAATTGGCTCACCCGTTTTAAAGAAAACCAGGTTGATAGCCAACCCATTATCTCATGGTAAAATCCTGATTATCACTTAGAATTACATCTGATTGTCTATCTTGAACAGATTTTAAGAAAAATTCATTAGTCTGGTATTTTTACCTTTGCATATAAAGAATCAGCTATAAATGAAGATTGTTGTGGCACAGACTAGGTTCATAAATAGTTCTCAGATTAAAGAAAAGAAGATTGTGTTCCCAAGACTACATTAGAAAGCAACCATCAATAGCTTCGTATTATTTCTAGACCGATTGAAACAACACTATAGCAAAAAGGAATGTGATAATAGCACATAAGGGGTAGAAATGATTAAAGAAAACCTAGAGGCATCTTTTAAAGTTGCAAGTTAAAAATCCGCAGCCACTTTCATGAATAGTAAATACTGAATATAACACTTCCAAGGTATTTTGTACAGTAACGAAAATGTGCGAAATCAGCAGCGTGAAAGAATGATGTGGCACTAATTAAGTGCTGCTAATCTCTACTCTCTCTGTATTAGAAATGAAGAAACTTTATTTTCTGTAGCATAAAAAACAAGATTTTTTTTCTGACCAAGAACCAGAATTATAAGGCTTGCTTTTGGTTTAAAAAAAAGTCTTAAATATATTTTTTTAATTTTAAATTTAAATTGTCTTCTATCAATAATGCATTATATTTATATTTGTACAAATGGCAAATTGCCAGCAAGATCCAATTCTCTTTTAAAATCTCCTGCATCAAAATAAATACTTGATCTTGTTATTTTCTAGCTTTGTTACATATCCACTAAAGGTGAAAAACTGTTCTCTCAGTTTGATTGCATTTCCAATAAATATTTGAAATTCCTTTATGCATTCTTGACAATTTATCCGGTATCAATAATACACCATTTTATAAAAATTATCTGTAAGATTATAGTTCAGTCTAAATTTCAACCCATTGTTGCACATGCTGTTCCATTGATCCAACTGTATATTATATCTTAAATCTTTTTGCCCATTGTATCATGCAGTCTTTAATTTATCTTCTGAACCATTTTCAATAAATTTATACATACTAACAATAATATGATCATCATCTGTATGGATCTCTACTTCAAATTTAGTTTTATTGTTTTCAAATCATAATTTTCCTCTTATTTTTAAGTTAAATTCTTCTTTACAAAATTTAGCAATTCAGCCTAGGTTAACCAATTTTGTTTAATTATCATTACCTTTCTATAAAAGGCTTCTTGGGGTGACAGCCATTTTAGAAGACTATTTTGGCTTATAGGACATATCTAACATTATTTTTAAAGTCCACATTTACTTTGACATTATCATACCCCTGAAAGCATTCCTCAACATTTCTCAAAAATAGTGTATTGTTTCCCAAATTAAACATATTTCTCAAAGTGTGAAGACTCTGATGTTATGTGGTACCATGAATAAAAATACTATCTGAAGATTTATGAAAGTCATTTGTATTTTAAAGCGTGAACAATAATGCTGAGATCAGCTTAATAGAATACTTCTTCAAAATCCTATCATCTTATCTCTCCTTAGGATGAAATTGAAATGGATTGAAATTGCATTATGACAACTATTCTCTTCTTTCTCTTTTTTAGCTGGGAGAAAAAATTGAGTTTTTCTGTGTAGTACAAGTATGGGTGTTAAAGGCTTGTATACGTTTGTGGTCACTGCCTGTCCGGATGGATGCCTAGTGATAAATCTGAAAGATATGGCTGAAAATCATTGTAGGACTTATCCTGGATCTGTTCCTGTCCTTGTAGTAGATGCTATGTCTTGTCTTCGACACTGGTATACACCAGAATCTTGGGTCTGTGGGGGCCAATGGCGTGAATATCGTTCTTATTTGGACAGTTTCATAAATCGCTTTACAACCGCCGGTATCAAACTAGTATTCTGTTTTGATGGCCTTGTGGAGCAAAAAAAGCGAAATGAATGGGTCAAACGAAGATTGAGAAATAACAAAGAAATAGCTAAGATCTTTGAGTTCATCAAAGCCAATAAACAGCAACCTGGAAGAGGAATGTTCTTTATACCATCTGGGCTGGCCACATTCACACGTTTTGCCTTGAAAACTCTTGGCCAGGAGACGATATGTTCATTGCAAGAAGCAGACTATGAAATAGCAACTTACGCACAAAAGAACAATTGCATGGGGATTCTTGGAGAAGACACAGATTACCTGATTTACGATACTGTTCCTCATTTTTCCATTAGTAAGCTACACTTGGATTCACTGGAAACAGTAATGTACTCAAGACAAAATCTCTGCCATTGGCTTGGTCTCAGTGTCCCAGACCTTCCCCTTTTTGCTTGCATCCTTGGCACAGACATTGTCCCAGAAAGAGCAATGGAAGGTTTTAGGAATCAATGTTTATCTTCATATCGGGCAAAAAGGCAAAGCTGTGACAAGAAAGCAGATGCTATTATTGCTGTGGCAAATTATATTTCAACTATTCCACATGTTTGTGAAAGTTTGATGGATCTTGAAAAAATGCTGCCTTTGGGATCAGACAAATTAATATTGCGCAAAGGAATAGAATCTTATCTGCTACCTGAACAGCATTCTCCGTGGCTTCCTTGTGACTTCAAGTCTACATTACAGTTAGCAGAAGAGCAGAAGAAAGATTTCCCTATTTGTTTAGATCAAGAGATCTTTCAGGTAATTCCCTACCTGGGTTACCCGAATTCAGGCAATTACAAAGAGCTGGTACTTTGGCTACATAGATGGATATTTTATCTACCGTATTAAATATTAGTACTTCTCTATGTTGTTTTCTTTGGAGGGAGTACAGGATAGTCTGTTCTCCTTTTACACTAAATCCTCATTAGTCTCCCCATGATACACAACAAAGTTGGACTACTCATAGTCCCTCTATGTCCCTTAGGTTAATTTTTGTGGCCTTTGTGGAACAGTTCAGTGGTGTTGAAGATGGCATAAGGGGAGGGAGGGAGAGAGGCAAACATCAGTGAAACAAACAGTAACATAACTACAGAAAATCAATGCTAGGTTTACAGTCCATCTAGTTTATTTTAATCTCCCATAACAAAAGGGCTGAAATTTTTATTCCTTCCAGATGTCACCAACATCATTGCTAGGGCCTCTGTGGCACTCATAAACTGGAAAAAGAATCAAAGGTGTGTTCTGAAGGTAAAAACAAAACCCATTAAGCATAGAATGACAACAACAAAAGCAATTTTTTTTTATTTTGCTTATGACAGATAGCTAAAGAACAACACATACGAGCTGAAAATCATATGATATACAATATCCTAAGCCATGCAGAAGTTGAATGCAGCAACACGCTGGAAGATGAATATGATACATCCCTTCCTGGACAGGCGCTTATCTATTGCCCTGCTCGCCAGCACATTTATTCCATCCTGCTGGAGTCTGCAAAAGGTAAAGGATGCAATAGAAATTTACTGTTGAATCCTCAAAGCTGGGAGTAATGAATTGGGTTATATCCTTATGCACAAGCTTTGAAAAAGCGATATGTGCAGTTTCTAAATGCAAGGCTCGCATAGATATACAGTTTAGTCCTTGATACTATCGGCAAGACACATGTAATTAATTAGAAGACCATTGGAAATAATTTAAAGGGAGTTGTGTGCACTTGAAGGCTGGGGCATTTTTGAACCTTTTAAGGAGATTTTGTAAAACCCCATCATCGAATACTTATGAAAGATGTTAATAATCAGCAAGCAGAGCAAAACAGCGTAGCCTAGTATAGCAGATTCTTTTAAATGTTTATTTTCAAAAAATATGTTTAGAATAATAATGAAGGAAAATGAATTTTAGTAGAAATTTGACAGGTAAAAGTACAACTTAAGGTGAAGCAATTCTGCAAATAGATTGCGTAGTCATACCGGTATTAGCAGTGGTGGGATTAAAACATTTTTACTACCGGTTCTGTGGGCATGGCTTGGTGGGCATGGCATGGTTTGGTGGGCATGGCTTGGCTTGGCGGGTGTAGCAGGGGAAGGATACTGTAAAATCTCCATTCCCGTCCCACTCCAGGGGAAGGTTACTACAAAATCCCCATTTCCTCTGCACCCCACTAACCTGCTTTCCAGCTCCGTTCTCCTGTGCAGGGCAACAAAAGAAGACCCAGCCAATCAGCTGGGACTCGGGAGGCAGAGAATAGATGGAGCGGGGCCAATCAGAGGTGGTATTTGCTGGTTCTCCGAACTACTCAAAATTTCTGCTACCGGTTCTCCAGAACTGGTCAGAATCTGCTGAATATCACCTCTGGGTATTAGCACAAAACCTGGGATGAAACAGAAACATTATGTATGACTTTTTAGTTTTTGGAAGCATACATTTTTTATTCCAGATATATGGAATACAGTGTTGTGGTTAGCTAGCAGCAGGTGCGGACGGCTGAGGAAAGCGAGGAATCAGATGAGGAGCCGGGACCATTAGGGAGTGGACTGCTGCCTTCAGAGATTGTGGGGGCTGGCAGCAGCGATGAGGAGGTTCCCGAGGAGCCTGTGCCAAGTGCGTGTGTGCTCAGGGCTGCTCGCAGGAAAGAGCAGCTGCAGCAGCACGGGCAACTCGGGGTTAAGGCTTCAAGGTAATGGCCCCTCCTTCAAGAAGATAAAAGCCAGCTGTGAAACCAACGTTCTTTGTAGGAAGCAAAAATGTTTTGAAACTCCAGCTTCATGGACATTGCAGTATCTTAAGTTGATATTTGAAGACTCTTGTGTTTTAAAATATTTCTTATCTGTTATTCTTGCCAGCCTTGTACAGTTTTGGCGAGGCTTGTGCTTATCTAAGTTAATTAGTACAGCAGCCTTTTAACCGGTGATTCGTATGAATCATTAAAAGGTTTCTGTTCCTTTCGTTTGTGTTTATTTTATTGGAAAAGGGTTTGGGTCAGAACATACAGCTACCTTGATCTTTGACAGAATAATTATCAAATAAAGACCTCTCTCTGCATTATATAAGCTATCTAACATTCATGCAAATTACTCAATTTGTCAGCTAACATGGTATCATCTGCTACAAAAGTACTTGTACTTTCATGTCCCCAGCCAAACACCTCCAATGTAACAAATAATTCTTCGTGAAGGTACTATATTCATAAATGCATTAAAAAGCCAAGGGAATACCATACATAGGTGTGGACTGCTATGGGTTCGCCCGGGTTCGGGCAGACCCATTGCTAACGTTATGGCTGGTTCAGCGAACCGCCAAATCCCACCCCTGATTAGTTCCACCCATCCCGCCCTGCCCCTCCCAGGAGTCTCCATGTGACCCGTTTTGGATGTGAGGTAACTGCAGGGCCCACGCAGAGGCTCCGAGGGGGGAAAACGGGCCTCCTGGAAATCTGGAAATGAGCCCGTTTCTGGCCTCTGGAGGGCCTCCGTAGTCTGTGGGAGGAGTTTTAGCCCTCCCAGAGTCTCGAGGAAAGCCTCCGGAGCCTGGAGAGGACGAAAATCTGGCCTCCCAGAAGTTCCAGTAGGTCACGTCACCATGGCCACGCCCACCCAGCAACCGGGCAGAGAACCCGTTGCTGACATTTTTGAAGCCCACCCCTGCATACATCCTTATCTTACTTCGTACTGAGTATGGAACCATTCACTAATTATTCTCCTGCATACTTTACTTTCCTCATATGCCATTCTCACCGCACTCATTAAGCAATCATCAACTCTGTAATCGTACCAAACGTTTCATAATTTAGACTAGAATAGAGCTGGAGGGGACCTTGGAGGTCTTCTAGCCCAACCTCCTGCTCAAGCAGGAGACCCTATACCTGTGATGGCAAAACCTATGGCACGCGTGCCAGAAGTGGGTCATAGAGCCATCTCTCCCAGGCACGCCAGCCATCGCTTGTTGCTCTTCCGGCCAACTGGTCTTCGCTTGCGGGAACGCCAGAAACCGGAAGAGCAGCTCCCAGTGTGTGCATGTGCACTGGCCACCTGGTCTTCCAGCTTCTAACACACAGGCGCACACAAAAACCATCTGGCTGGCCAGTTTCTAACGCGCATGCACGTGCCGGCCAGCTGGTCTTCACACACACATGCGAACTAAAAACTGGCTGCCACCTGGTCTTCGCGTGCGCATGTGCGTTAGAAGCTGAAAGACCAGGTGGTCGGTGCACATGCACGCACCGGGAGCTGCTCTTCTGGTTTCCTGTGCGCATGCTGCCTGCGTGAATAATCATAACTTTAATGCAAGCTGTAGATTTCAGCAGCTAATAGCATCCATGTGAAGATTTGATTGCATCCTTCAAATGCACATGGGCCTTTTTTCAAGGACAATTTCACAGTTCCTTTGTTCCTGGTGTAGGGCTAGGGTGAGCATTTTATACCAAGGACAGCATGCAGCACACTGAATCTTCTTTTCTGTCCATTTGGATCATGATAGCTCAAAAACGATGGTAATTTTGCACAATTTTGATGTGGGGTAACCCAAAAACTCTTGACATGCTCAATTCAAATGGACACTGTGGAGGTTTTTCCTGTTTTCATGAATATGTGTTTGCAAGGGACACGATCTGAAAGTGACTTGGCAGATGGGACCTGAAACCTGCAAAGTAAGGCACCCTATTCCTGAGCCTCTTAGGTGATCAAGAGAGATGCCCTATTCAGTGGTATTGAAAATTGCAGAACAATCAAAGAGCAATAGCACTTAGACTTATATACCACTTTACAGTGCTTTACAACCCTTTCTAAGCAGTTTACAGAGTCAGCACATTGCCCCCCAACAATCTGGGTCCTCATTTTACCGACCTCAGAAGGATGGAAGGCTGAGTCATCCTTAAGCCTGGTGGGATTTGAACTGCCAAATTGCAAGCAGCCGGCATTGTTCTGTACAATACTGGCTCTTAAAATATGGAATGCTGTTTACCTCCCTTGGGTAGGTGCAGATGGATCTCGGGGTATGAAGAATCTTTTAGTTATTATTGTTACAATAAATCTTTTCCAAAGTTTCAATGCATTTTTATAGTTTATTTTTCTTCATTTTGGAGTTTGGATTTTTAGGGGAAGCATGTGCATTAAGATTATGATAAAGAGTGGTGTGATGGCAAAAGTTTTAGGAATCCCTGCTCTAAATGTACAATTCTGAGAAAATTTGTATGTCAGATCCATTGAGGTTTAATCCCCCATTAAGATATGAGAAGGAGCCTAAATCATCATACCATTATATTTACAAATCATACAATATCTGTTCTCATCTAAACTCATTAAACCAATTTTCTATTCTTTAGATGCCGGTGGAGCTTATCCTGTGGTCAAGGAGTGGTTTGTATATGCTGGAAATTCCTTGCAGCAGCCAGACCTAGTGCAACCCAAACAGCTGCCAGGTAGAACGTGATTTCCTTCTGTATTAAAATGTGAACTAAATATAAAATATTTGTTAAAAAAAATATCCTATCTGACATTGTAATTTTGAGAATCAGGGATTACTAAGTCAAGTTAATTTTTTTTTATTGTAGTATGCCAAGAAGATTTGTAAACCTCAGAAAAGTTTATGACCCCTAAACATAATAAACATCAGTAAAATTCCATGCATCAAGAACCAGAAGAACAACTCTTTTAATAATTTAAAGAAATTCAAACAGCATTGTTCCAAAGTAAAACATAAGGAGAGGAAGCAAGAAAGATTCAGAGTGGGTCAATTTTCATATGTGGGTAGGTAAAAATAGTTTTGTCCTAAAGTGAGAAGAGTCACCTTTTTCTTTTTAAGGATGAAATCTTAAGTTAAGATGCCACTTCTAATAAAGCCCTGCTATTTATGAGTCCAGCCAAACCTAATTTAGTACTCAATCATATTTGATAGAAGCATTCACTGCAGAATCCTGAATATTACCCATGCACTTTTAATTACCAAGAATGAACTCACATTGGGCAGAGGTGGTATTCAGCAGGTTCTAACCAGTTCTGGAGAACCGGTAGCAGAATTTTTGAGTAGTTCAGAGAACTGGCAAATACCACCTCTGACTAGTTCCGCCCCCATCTATTCTCTGCCTCCCGAGTTCCAGCTGATCGACTGGGTCTTCTTATGTTGCCCTGCACAGGAGAACGGAGATGGAAAGCAGGTTGGGGGGGTGGGGAGGGAATGGGGATTTTGTAGTAACCTTCCCCTGGAGTGGGGTGGGAATGGAGATTTTACAGTATCCTTCCCCTGCCATGCCCACCAAGCCACACCCACCAAGCCACACCACGCACACAGAACTAGTAGTAAAAAAAATTTGAATCCCACCGCTGACATTGGGAACCAGCACAGTTCAACGTAGCTATGTAGCTATGCTACATGCAAATCATTCTTCCTAAGTTACTACCCTTGACAGATGCTGCTTCCAAGCATGAGAAAAGTCCACTTCTACATGCTTGATACGTGTATGAGGAAGGCTTCTCTTTGCATCAAGTTGGATGAGACAGATGCTGTTTAGATATATGCCTGATTCTGCAAGGCTATTCTTCTGTTCCTAAAAAGTAATGTGCTCTGTGTGTGTATGTGCACACAATCACACATTACTGGAAGCAGCCATAATGATGTATGCACCATACTTAAGAAAATTTATAAATTACTCATGGTGGAATCCCAAAACATCCCAAGACTGTATTTCTATTCCTTTCAAGAATACAACCCTTACAGTTAATACTATTGAACAATAAGGAGAAATCAAGAGACTGTAACAAGGAACAATTTCCCTTTCTCCTGGTAAAAGACATCTTTACCCAGAGTAAACTACCGTGTTTCTCATATAATAAGGCTGGGTCTTATTTTTTTTTGAGCCCCGAAAAAATGGCTAGGCCGTCTTTTCGGGGGTGACTTAATTCCCGCCCCCCTTGCATCTTCGGGCGGGCGGGCGGCGACGGCTTGGATGTTGACCTCGGCGTTGGTGGGGCATTTCATATCGGGGTCAACGCAAGCATCACCATATCCGGGTGTGCAACAAAAGTACTTCCTAACGGCAAGCCGCCCCCCACCATTCCCCCCCATTTCGCATGTTTTAATATAGGCCTTAATTTGGGGGGAGGGGCTTAATTTCATTTCTTGCCTATAAAACATGCTGGGACTTCCTATTGGGGGAGGCCGTATTGTTGGAGAAACAGGGTAGTACAATTTATGTTCATAATTATTTAACCATAAACTAGAGTGCTCAGGATCTAGGTTAGGCTTCCCCTGTTGTCCTCCAGATACATTAAAATCGTAGATTAGAAAAGGCTGATCCAGATAATCTCAACCACTCAATCCTTATTACTTGCGATAGATCTGCATATTTATTACATTTCTAACAAAGTCTTCATGTTAGATTAGGATTTGAAACGGTATATAATTCAAGAGGTTTAGTCTGTATAAAGAGATGTTTGTTTGATCTTCACTATTAGCTAATATTAAAGGGATTAAAGCAGAGGTCTCCAACCTTGGCAACTTTAAGACTTGTGGACTTCAATTCCCAGAATTCTCCAGCCAGCTGAAGTTGTGGAGTTGAAGTCCACAAGTCTTAAAGTTGCCAAGGTTGGAGACCTCTGAATTAAAGGGTTCTCCTGTCAGTCGTGACTGACTCATCTCCAATTCTCAAGCTGAAGGAGCCTGTGGTGTCTGAGATGGTTTTGTCATCATGATATGGGCCAGTATAAAAATACAGACTGCAGTAACCTTCCAGCCAAAGTGGCACCTATTTATCTACATTTTGCATGCTTTCGAACTGCTAGGTTGTCAGGAGTTGGAGCAAATAACAGGAGCTCACCCTGTCATACAGCGCTCAGGTCTCAAATTCTGGCTGTCTGCTTTCCAGCCGAAAAACTTCGCCGCTTAATGGCTGAGCTATCGTGCCCCCTATTAGCAAATACAGCATGACATCAAGTTTTCCTAATAAGAATCTAGTTTACCAGATGCCAGGGGACTTAAGTTTAATTTAAGTGGTTGATTGAGCTTCAGCTTAATGATTAAGGATATTCTGCCCAATAGGTTTATCTGATAGATTCCATTCTTCTCACCATCCCCAGGGAAACCAGTATAAACAAAGAAGAACACATTCGCTGAGGTGTCAAGTAAATCCTTCCTCTCTAAATAAAAAGAAAATAGTAATTAGCATAATTGAGGAAATTATTATTTCAGTAATAAAACAGATGCTCTGTGTGCCAAAGGTTTCCTGTTCTGTTCCTGATATTTGCAGGTAGAGCTAGGAAAGCATGAAAACCTGCTAGGAATTAGCATAGCTCACATGAAGTAGATGGCGAGTGATCTAACTTGAATCAGCCATTTTCCCGTTTCATATCTAGGACAATCAAAAACATACTGTAGGAGCATCCTTAGGGCACCTTGTGCCGATTTAGTCATTCATCGCATTGGTAATGAGGATGACAATGAGGAGAAATTATGTGCATTGTATGCAAAACGACAGCAGTAGAAATTTGTTTTAAGAAAAAAGTCAGTCTGGATGAACTCTTAATTCTATTTCTCATTTTTGTTCTGAACACTCTGCCTGAATAATATGCCTTGAAATTAAGACACTTAAAAACTGAGCCTGTTTCTCTTATTGGGCCAGACTGCTGAGGAATGGTCTATATTCTTTAGGTGAGAATGAATCAATTTCAATTATGGCAGAAAATATCTGCCCTAAATCTAGAGAAAGGAGTGACATAGTGAAAAAAGGAATAGCCTGTTTTTAAAATGCAGGCAGCAGGCAGCATGAGGAAAGAATTTTATACTCTGCTATTTTTTTCCTTCTATGGATGCAACAACCAAGCAATCTCTTGTGGAATTTGCTTGCAGAAAATTATATTTGGGCTGACTTATAAGTATGGGAAATTTCAATAAAACATTCCCTCAAAAGGAGGATTTATAGTACAGGTTGCCTTTGAGCAATGTTTGCTATTTCCTCAGAAAGGAAAGTCTGTTGTGTTCTTTTTTCAGAAAAGAAAAGTTCCAGTTTATTTTTAGTACAATATTCCAAAGCAAATATTTTTTTTTTCTAAATGAGCAATCTAATTTTATATGCCTGAAATTTTCTCATGCACTTTTATTTTCGGCAGAATGAAACTATAGTTCACCAAATAAGGAGTTTGGCACTGGGATTAATCATAAAATGTTTTACTACTGCATTTCAGTTGAAGTCAATGAAGAAAGACAAATTCAAGTTCACATTTGTTTAAACAGTATTTTTAATCAATACACGTACATATGGATATATATATATATAGTTGCACGCATTACAAAACAAAACTAGTTAAAATCATGTTCCATTAAACTCTGTTGCTATTTAACAATGATTAAACTCATAACCTGATGCTAATCATAGTTTGATTAATAAATGTCTATTTATAAGACAACATTTTAGCTCCCAGAAAATAATAATCCATAGCAAAAAAACCATGTTGTGACTGGTCAGAATCCAGTCATGCAGTCTTTACTAACTTACTAAATTGTGATTAAATTGGTAAATCTAACAATTTTTTTTTCTGATTTTTAAAAATTAATTTAGTAGAAAAGAATCCTTTGGATTTTAGTTGATCACACACATTTGCATGAGGTATTGGCAGATGCTAATTCTCAAGGGACATCCTTCTTCAATCTAAGATCAATGTCAGAAATAGCTTTCCATATCTACTGTGCATCTATATCTTACATAATTCTTTGCTGAATGCACATTAAGATGCTTTCAAGGGAAATTGCCAGGCAGCTGTGTGGCAACTTGCACAGAAATGAGCATCATTTGAGGGTTCTAGAATCTGTTTTGTTTTTGTCCTTTACTAAAAACCGTGGCTTATTAGACAGAATCAGATAGAAAATTGTGACCCAAAAATCTAAAGATAGAGTGATCTTTCTCCTTCACTTAAAGTTCACATTCTAAAATTTGAAATTCTGATCTTATTTATAAATAAAGAATAAAAAGAATGATAAGTTTTATTTGGTTCTAAAAGGTAGAAACACCAGAAACTGTCTGGCACAATATGATACTCCTGAAAAGGCCCAGTTCTTAATAACCACTTGCCTTATCAGATTCGTCAGTGGTATCTGGAAAAGGATTTCTGAAGAGTCTGAGTTGAGTATGGGGCAAGATATTTTTTCAGATAATCAGACCTCAGGCTGTTCAGGGAGTTAAAGGTTTGAGATTTTAAATAATATTTTAGTGGGACTTACTCCTGAGTAGCCTAGGTTGCAGTATTAAATACATTTATTAGGAAGAAACCCCAATGGAATTCAGCAAGTCTTTTGCATGAACAGATTTAAGATTGCCTCCTAAAATATTTGTATTATTGCCACCATTATAAGTGTCAGTGATTTTTAGAGGTTACCTGAAGACTGTCACATTAGCTTTTAATGATAAACTTTCTTTCTGTTTTATTACTTTTTGCTCATGTATTATTTTGCTAATTAAAAGTATTCCTGAATTGCTTCTCAGTTCAAAGGCTCCTACAGAAATTTGCGCATATGATCTTCATTTTTTTAGAAAAGAAAAAAAAAATTGTGAGCAATATGTACAAGAAATGAAAGAGAGAAAAACAGAAATGCCTTTAATTGTGGGATATTTAGATATTCTTGTGGTAGAGCATGGTGTGGTACTCCTGAACTCCATGTAGCTTTGGGTGGGAAAGTACACATTTTCTTTAAACCTGGGGCCTTAAACTTAAGAAAATTCACACCTGGAAAGAAACTAGTCTTAAGGGTGAAAAACAAAATATTTATTTTCTGTTTTGGATCCTCAGAAAAAAGTACCATTTGGTTAAGTGAGTTTTGTTTGCTAAATAAACAAGCTCTTTTTTCACTCAGTTATACCTCAACACTGTAATCATTTATAGCAGCCAAGCAGTTTACTCAGAGGAATGCAATTTCTGTTTGTAATGATTAAAAAAAGGGGAAAAAAATTACGCTACTAAATGTAGCTTGGACAATTGGGTCTTAAAATGGTACCCAGTTTGTCTAAAATACAGAATTAAAATATTCTCTGGCAAGAATTTATCCCCTTACTAGATGTAAAATTTTAACTTCAGATTCATCATTATTTTGGCGGTTAAGTAAACATGATAAACAGTAAGATTTGAATCTCTGTTTTTTTGGGAGGCAGTAATTATAAGATATATAAAATGCAGTATAACATAAGGGACTAAAAAGTGTTCTTGTTAAACATTGTATGTAATAGCTTCATGGAGGTACTCTGGTTTTACATTCTCTAATTTTCCCTTAGATAATAAGATTAATAAACCATTGTGCCCTTATTTTGAGACTATTTCCAATATGCAGATTAAATCCGCACTGCAGTGGAGAAAGGGGCAACAGAGTGGCCGGGGCGAGGGAAGGAAAAGGCCACTTTCCCTCTTTCTTCTCCCTCCTCCTTCCGGCGTGCTGGCCACTCCTTTGCCCATTTCTCCAGCGCAGCGCAACGCCCAGGATCCACTTTGATAGTGGAAGGGTTAATTTAACAACCGGTTCACACAGGGTCAGGTTGGCTGTCGCTGGAGGCTTGTCCTGCATGTGCAGCACAGCTGGAGGATGAGGATGGGCCACGCCTCTCACATTAGCCAACCTAACCCTGGGTAAACCGGGTCTATTGGTCATAACTCATTTTTTTCAGTGCCATTTCAGTGCTTTGAATAGTCACTAAATGAACTGTTGTAAGTCAAGGACTACTACCTGTACCAGTCCCTTCTCTAGTACTCTTTGTAGCTCATTACAGTTTTTTGCAAGTGTGATGTTTCTCATTGAAATGCCACGGCCTTACTCTCAATAACATGCTTCTACAACGGTGACACCTGTGATGGATTTCTTTCCTAGGTGGCAATCCTAATTTGAGAACCTTGTGGCTCAACAGGAGTGCTGAGACTGAGAAGCAACGTCTTTGGACATTTCTGGCATGCTTTCAACTTCAAGATTCAGCAGAGGAGCTCAGGGCTCTGGAAACTCCTTTCTTTGTTCTCTGTTCCTTGTTATTCTACCTCGTTTTGCAAGTAAGGAAAACCCAAGTTCTTCCTTGCATGTTCAACCTGTTTTTCTATGTACTTTAGGCAAGCAGACCCCAAGCTTTTGGGCACCAGGGATCAGTTCTGTGGAAAGAGGTTTTTCTGTGGACCGGAGGGAGCATGGTTTTATGTGCTGCCTGCATCCCAAGGATGGGGCTTCACTTGTTTACATGGCCCGATTGCTGGCATGCAACAGACTGGAGGTTGGGGATCCCTGCTCTAGAATAAATAAATTGCAAATTAAATTATTGGATTAGGTCTATCTCCAATCATACACTGAATTGCTGAAGAGGACATGGAATGGGATTTCCCTATCTTAAAATTATGGCTTGCACACTTTACATCTGTGGAAGGTTGTGTAATCTGAGATTATGGGTATGTTACCATTTCTTTTGCTGAAAGATACCACCACCCATTTTAATACTGATTCTAGTTATGTATCCATCTCACATCCGTGGAGATGGATACATTAATGGGATTGTAATATTGAAGATGGTTCATAAAAAGAAAAACTGTTGGGAAAAATATGTTGTAAGGATTTTGATAATAATAATAATAATAATAATAATAATAACAACAACAACAACAACAACAACAACAACAACAACAACAACAGCAGCAGCAGCAGCAGCAGCAGCAGCAGCAGCTAAAATCATTCACTGGAAACTATGCCAAAAGTTTGGATTTGAGTATAGTAACAACTATTGGGAACATCAGGTTGAGAAGGTTCTGGAGAATGAAAAAGTCAAGATCTTGTGGGACTTCAGAATTCAGATGGACAGGCACTTGGCCCACAACACGTCTGACATAACAATAGTTGAAAAGAAAAAGGGTTGGTTCATTGACATTGCAATATCTGGTGATGCAGGAATTGTAGACACGCAGCAAGAAAAAAATCACAAAGTATCGGGACTTACAAATTGAAGTTGAGAAACTTTGGAAAAAGAAATTGTGTGTTATCGCAATTGTAATAGGAGCCCTTGGAGCAATACCTAAAAGGCTACTCGCTATTTGGAAATTCTGAATTTATTAGATTTGAATACCATAATTCTACAAAAAACCACCTTGCTTAGAACAGCTTATATCCTCCAATATTACCTGAAAGTTCCTAGGTCCTTGGCTAGGACTCAAGCTGTTGAACTATTAACCAGCCCCAAAGGCTGTGAATCTCACTAAAGATAATAATAATAATAATAATAATAATAATAATAATAATAATAATAATAATAATAATAATAATAATAATAATAATAATAATAATAATAATAATAATAATAAATAATAATAAATAATAATAAATAATAAATAATAATAATAATGAATTTGCCCAGAAAAGCAGAAGCAGGTGGCAGAGGATTTGCAAGTGAAGCAGACAGTCAAAGATGAAAAGCATGCTTTTGCAGATTACGTGAAAGACAGTGTTGAACCAGCTTTGATAGAGGTCAACAATAGGAAGCTGCTCAAAGTGCAGCAAACCAAGAATCAATACAGGCAAACAGCGATGCAAACTCAGGCTGAGAGCTGGTGTAACAAAGCACTGCATGGACAGTTCCTTGAAAAGATCCAAGGAAAAGTAGATAAGGAAAAGACCTGGTTATGGCTGACCAACAGAACACTGAAGAAAGAGACTGATTCTTGCAGCCCAAGAACAAGCCATCAGAACGAATGTAATCAAAGCCAGAATAGAAAAATCTGCTGATGACCCCAAATGCAGACTCTGCAAAGAAGCAGACGAAACCATCGATCACATACTAAGCTGTTGCAAGACGATCGCTCAGACTGACTAAAAACAACGTCAGAACACAGTTGCTCAGATGGTCCACTGGAACTTGTATCACAACTACCATCTACCTGTAGCAAAGAACTGGTGGGATCATAAGCCTGAAAAAGTGGTCGAAAATGAGCATGCAAAACTAATGTGGGACTTCCAAATACAGACTGACAAAGTTTTGGAACACAATACCCCGGATGTCATGATTGTGGAGAAGAAAAAAGTGGATTGTCGACATTGCCATACCTGGTGACAGCAGAATCCACGAGAAACAACTTGAAAAAAATCACCAGATATCAGGACTTGAAAATCGAACTGCAGAGACTCTGGCATAAACCAGTGCAGGTGGTTCCAGTGGTACTTGGCACACTGGGTGCTATGCCTAAAGACCTAGGCAAGCACTTAAAAACAATTGGTGCTGACAAAATCACCATTGATCAGCTGCAGAAGGCCACCTTACTGGGATCTGCTCGCATAATCTGCCGATACATCACGCAGTCCTAAACGCTTGGGAAGTGTTCGACTCGTGATCTGTGATATGAAACCCCCAGCATAGTTATCTCGTTTGCTATGTACGCTGTCATTTTTTGTGTATTATTATTATTGTTGTTATTGTTATTACATTAAATTTACATGCTACCCTACTTCTAGCTGGCAGTCCTCACTGGATGCTATATTCACACTGGAGCTGTGAATCCCAGAATTCCTACCCATCCCGATCTTCATACTAGCTAGTTGAAAATTCTGCAAATTGCAGTTCCAAAAATGAATAACACTAGACTGGGGAAAGCTAGATTCTAGTTCAAGAATGTGTTGTGATTCACATTCATATCACCAGACTAAATTCCCGTTGCCTACTGCTAGGGAGCTAACTAAAGGAAATTGCTGTGGCTTGGATCTTTGTTCTTGCCTTTGTAGCGAACATTCAGATCAGATTGCTTTTACTCCGTCACCCTTCTATCATGTATTAATTTAGTCAAGACATTAAGGAAGTTATTTTTCAATAACTTCGGTAACTCCTTTTTATAATGTTGCATAAAATAACAAAACTGGTTAACAAAGACCAAGCCAACTTTTTTCAAAATTAAACTACAATTGAGCAAAAGTAGCATTTCTAAAGTGCTTAATGTTGGATTGTACTTCTGACTTATGCCAAAGTGGTGCGTCTCCGTGTATGGATGTGTGTGTATACACATACTGTATGTATTTAAAGTTTACTAGGACCCTAGGGAAAATGAATGTACAACAGGGTATACCAACTGCAGCTGTGAAGACCTGATGCAGATTCAGATTTTAAAAGCAGCTTGTACAAAATAAGATAAGGTATAAGATTGACATTCCCCTAAAAAGGAATGCAGATAATGAACAAAGCAAGAATTTTTCTGCTTATTTGTAACAAAAGCTAAGCTTCTGTCTTAAAACTTTACCTCTTAGGTGGACAGCCTTTCTTTGGAAGACATGCATGCATTTATGGCTCAGGCTCTGTGCCTCCAGGAGAAATCAGCCGCTCAGCTTGCAGACTTGCAGGTATAGACTTGACCCAAATCTTAATGTAATACGATGTCCCTAAGGTGAACATTGCATGGCGTTCTCCTGACTTGACTCAGATATGCAGGAGATTAGATTTGGGGGTCAGGAGGTCTCTCCTGCTTTGTTTTGCTGATGAACTATTTATCTGAAATTCTTATTTCGTTTTGATCTGGCTAAAGCTTTAGAAAGATCTGCCATATTGGAGCCCTTGCTTCTCAATGGCTGTGACCCAGATTGTTTAGTTGGAAAGTAATTCAAACTCTCATTTCTCCTTTATCTGTCAATTCTTCTTTGTGTAATATTTTTGGGCAGATCAGATATATCAAACAATATGAAAGGTCAAGTACTTTCACTTGCATTTTGAGAAGGGCAACTTGTCCCAATTTTCATCAATCCTCTTAAGGTAGGTTTCTTAATTCTTCTAGCTATATTGGATCTTGGTTCCCCTCTACGTGCATAGAGTTCTCAAATGGTGTGGCCATTGTCTGACAGTCATTAAGACTTCCTAGGGCAAATATTACTTATGTTGGTTTTAACCCATAATTGAATTTTAGAAATTTCTATGGAAGAACATGAATGACAGACCCTTCTTCATTGATAACCTGAATTCCTATGGCTGGGTTTACGTAACGTACTAAGCCCAGGTGAGCCGACTAGCCTGTAATTCACTGTGTTGCAGAAAGCCAACGGACATATTATTGTTTACATTGTTGTTCTAATTCTGGCAATCCTGTAAAGTGTGGTTTACTTTACCCCAGAGATAAACATGCCTTCATGTACATAGTCTGTATCTATAGTACTGCCCGCTCAACATATGCAAGTAAATATGCAAGCTTTTGGTTAATTATCTATGCCTGTATGGAAAAATCGCTTTGCAGTCACAAGTTAATTTGTTAGGGTTTGTGTTGCCGTCGAGCAAACTGCACAATATGCATTTAAAATATATTGTGGGCTTGTGATACACTTGTCTGTTAAACAGGGTGTTTGTGTATGTCTTTTTCTCATTTAATGACTGCATGCTTAGTAGTTTGGGGCATGTACCACTTCTTGGGGAAGGCAGTAGGTGGGGCATCTTTACCAACCAGATCCACCGTTGGAATGTTGGGCTGCTTTGAACTGATTCTACATTCTCATTTAACACTCCCTTGTTTGACTGCAAGGTAAATGAGCCTCCCACCAGTCGTGTGTCCATGCCATTTCCCATTGTTCTCTGGTATATACTGTATTTACTCTGAAATTCCAATCATCCTTTGCCTTCCTTCGATATCTTGTCACTACTTGTCTTGTTCTCAACAGCTACAAACATTTTTTTAAAAAAATTTGGCAGCTCTAACTGCTCAGTCGAACAAAGAATTTGAGCATCATATATCTACATCATGCAAGAAAAAGACCCAGGGTTGTAATTAAAACAGTGTGGCTTTTAATTTAATTGTAGTAGGGGGAGAAGCAAGTGACTTTACATTACAGAACTGTTAACTGCCTGGCTTTATGGCCGTCAGTTGTAAAAACACCTAAAGCAAATAGAATGTGAACATGTAATGTTGACATATTTTATTGGCATATTTATGAGCACTTTTTAGATATGCTTACAAATTGCTGTAAGCAGCTGTTCCTGGATAACCGTTCCTAAAGCTTGTATACATAATGCCTCCCACTAAAATCAGAAAGCTGTGAACAGTTTTCCCCATTTCACATTTGCTATTGTTATTGTCAATGAAAAATCGTCAAATAAAGATGGCAATAAGTCAACAAAACATTATCAAGTGCGCCTGTGCCATTTTCTGCTTTATTCTGGTAGGGAATTAGGGCTACAATGCTGCTGTTTTCAGCACGAGAATTACATAATCAAATATTGTGAATTTGAATTCCATAAGAGAAATTATAGAAATCATGTAAACATTTACAGAAATCAATGTTTATAAAGTACCATACTAAAACCCATATAAAAATGAATAACTTAGATTAAAATTGCTGAATATGTTTCATTGAAAAGAAAATATCTGACTAAAAAACAACATTGCATTTTTATCTGCCTTCATTTCTATATTCTATACATAAAGTAATGAAATAACTAAAGGAATACATTGAAATAAATACACACACACACACACACATACATACATACATATATTCTCAGTAAGCGTAAGGCAGCCTTCCTACTTTAAATACAGTATCATTAGGCATTCTTAGCTTAGCTTTGGTTTTTTCCTTCTACTAACCTAACAGAAGACCAATGAATATTCAAATATATTTAGACATCGTACTAAGACATGAGAATAGTTCATTCTTTTGTTTTACTGTGATGAGCATATTTAGACATTGTAATTTGTAAATCATGGTTTTTGGTAGAGCATTTACATGTAAACCCACATTATGGCTTATTAAATAAGTAATAACATAACTTGAGGTATTCAATCTCTGTTGAATACTTTTAATTAAATTAGTTAAATTCTAATTAAACTGGAATTAAACTTGTTAACTTACATGGATTACTGCTGGCCATTGCTAATACAATGATCAAAAAATCATTTGGAGAAGTAACTAAATCTACTGCGCTATGGTGGTGCAGTGGTTAGAGCGCAGTATTGCAGACAAACTTTGCCCACAGCCAGGAGTTTGAGATTGACTCAGCCTTCCAACCTTCCAAGGTCAGTAAAATGAGGACCCAGATTGTTGGGGGCAATAAGCTGACATTTGTAAATGACTTAGAGCAAGGGTCTTCAAACTTGGCAAGTTTAAGACTTGTGGACTTCAACTCCCAGAATTCCTGAGCTAATCTGACTAGAGGAGGAATTCTGGGAGTTGAAGTTCACAAGTCTTAAAACTGTCAAGTTTGAAGATCTCTGACTTAGAGCAAGGGTCTTCAAACTTGGCAAGTTTAAGACTTGAGGACTTCAAATCCCAGAATTCTTGAGCTAGCATGATTGGAGGAGGAATTCTGGGAGTTGAAGTCCACAAGTCTTAAAGCTGTCAAGTTTGATGACCCCTGACTTAGAGAGTGCTGTAAAGCACTGTGAAGTGGTATATAAATCTAAGTGCTATTGCCATATATCCAAACAGCTTTTGGAGAAAATTGAGATCATGCTTTCTTTTGTTTGTTTCATTAAGCATTCTGTAGAATTCTAAATGTGTACAAGAAAAAGAACGAGACAAAACAGAGAAAGTTTTTTTCCTATTAAATAATCTTACCCCACAAAATGGAACCTGGGTCATTCCCCAATTTGGGTTCACTTTATTGTTTAATTTTCTTATGCCCCTTAATAAATCTTATTGTCTACGAGACTGGTGTGCCTAACAATTTGGATTATTTTCAGTCCAAATACTATAATTTTGTAGTCCCAAATAGCTCTGAAAATACAGACTCTGGTGTCTAATAAATGTTTCAGCTTCTCCTCGCCTTCTATTGCTTCCAGTCTCTGTGATAGTTTTATAAATTCTCTTGACTGCTATTCTCTGAATGCACCTAAGTATGTTTTTAAAATGTAGTTTTAAAAGCATGTTATTCAAAATATACTTCACAGCCTTGGGATGTTATTGATGATTTATTACATTTTCCTTGAATCACTCTCTTAGCATAGTGTATCCCTTATATTTGCTTTCCAGTGGAGCAGATACTAATTTTTATATGCCTGGGTTCTGAAGTGTATTTCAACAAATGGAGAAGGATAATTTTGCTCACTGGAGTAATTCATTTGGCAGGCGGTGGTGGGCTTAAGTAATCAGAAGCAAGTACCATTTTGTTTAGCTAGACTTACTCCCAAGTCAATGCATTATTGTACTAGGAAGTAAGTTCTGTTGTCCTATAAGGTTTATTATAAGTAAAGAGATTTAAGATTGCATTCTCAAACCCGGCAGAACATATGTCATTTTTTTTCTTTTTGTCAACTCCTGTCAGTTAAAAAAAAATGGTGAAGGCTAGCTTCCAAAAACATAACTGATGGACACAATTGACAACCGTGTATCAGTTGGCCTTGCCTGTTAAATATTACACCAACTTCTGATATATAATGACTAGATAGTGGAGAATCTGAAAAGCACTCTTTCTTTAGGCGAATCAGAAAAGGGTTGGGATAAAGAGAGAAGATAGCATTTATTGGGCTAAACTATACTGCACCAGCGGTGACCTGTGCTTGGCAGGTGTAGTATGGGGGGAAGGGAGCTAGTAGTAAGCAAGTCACAGCAGGCACACCTGCTGGACATCTGCTCTTGCGTTCCTCTGCACCTGTCTTCCTATCTTTGTTACACAAGAGCAGGAATGCAAATTTTCACATCTACCTTATGCTTGAGGTAGGGTGAAAGACTAACGGTGAAACTCAAGAAGATCAAGAATGTGTGTATGGCACGTTCTACATATTTACTGGCCTGGTTTCTGGGCTGACAATCCAAAAACTCAAAAGGGCCTAACTTTTGATTTTACAGCTTAAAACAATTACACAATTCTAGCAATAATTAAAATGCAAGTCAGGGAACGTGTTTGCTGAATATTCAGCGAGGACTGAAAGGTTCCTGTAACAGCCATTCTCATACCAGGTACAGTTACTTTCCATTTTTCTTCCAGTGATAGGAATACTTGACTTTATACAGGCAGTCCTCGACTTACGACCACAATTGAGCTCAGCAATAGCAATTTACATTGCTCAGTGAGAAATTGGTTAGGTGAGTTTTGCCCTATTTTATTCTCTTTCTTGCCACCGTTGTTCAGTGAATCACTGCAGTTGTGGAATTACTTAATGTGGTTCTTGAGTGAATCTGGCTTACCTGTTGACTTTGCGCATCAGAAGGTCAAAAAATGGGATTACGTGACTCAGGGACATTGCAACCATCATAAAAATGAAGCAGTTGTCAAGCATCTGAATGTAAATCACGAGACCATGGGAATGCTGCAAAGGTGAGTGTGAAAAACGGTCCTAAGTCACGTTTTTTCAGTGCTGTTCAAACAGTTACTAAAGGAATTGTTGTAAGTGGAGGACTACCTGTATTATATTTGGTACATAGGA